CTGTAACCTCGTCCAGCTCCTACACCCCCTCCCTATCTCTGTGACCTTGTCCAACCCCTACACCCCCTCCCTATCTCTGTAACCTCCTCCAGCCCCTTCCTCATGATATCGGTGCTGTTGTAATTCTGGCTTCTTGTGTACCCACTGTTTTAATTGCTCTGCTGGACTGTTAATCCAGAGACCCAGATAATGTTCTGGGGATCTGGGTTCAAATCCTGCCATGGCAGATGGTGGAAGTTGAATTCAATAAAATATCTGGAATTAAGAATCTAATGACAATCATGAATCCATTGTCAATTGTCAACAGGAAAAACCCATCTGATTCACTAATGTCCTTTAGGGAAGGAAACTGCTATCCTTACCTGGTCTGGTCTACATGTGACTCCAGACCCACAGCAATGTGGTTGACCATGAACTGCCCTCTGGGCAATTTAGGGATGGGCAATAAATGCTGCCTAGCCAGCAACACCCTCATCACGTGAATGAATAAAAAAAAAATTGGTTGCCTTCAGACCTAAGCTCAGTCACTTTTCTCCCCCAGTATCTTGCTGTCTCTCCCCGTGTCTATCCTCTTTTTAATTGCTCCTGAAAGCATACCTCCAAACAAGATTTCAGTCATCCATCCTAGCACCAAATTATATTTAATTTCACCTCCTGCGATGCACCTCATGATGGTTCATTATTTTAAAGGTGCTACCTAAATGCAGATTGCTGAAACGTAGAAAATGGGAGTAGGCCATTCAGCCCTTCTAGCCTGCCCCATCCTTCAATATGATCATGGCTGATCATCCACCTCAGTCCCCTGTTCCTACTTCCACCTATACTTTTTGATCCCTTTAGCCCTGGGGACTATATTTAATTCATTTTTGAAAACATTCAATGTTTTGGCATGGTTTTTAGTGGCAGAGAATTCCACAGGCTCACCACTCTCTGGGTGAAGACATTTCTCCTCATCTCAGTCCTATATGGCCTCCCCTGCCATCCTTAAAATATGTGACCCATGGTTCCAGATACTCTGCTCAATAGGAACATCCTTCCTGCATTTGCCCAGTCTAGTCCTGTTCGAACTTTGTAGATTTCTATGAGATCCCCCTCATTCTTCTAAACTCCAGTGAATGTAGTTCTAACTGAAAGAAAAACCGAAAGAACTGCGGACGTTGTAAATCAGGAACAAAAACAGAAGTTGCTGGAAAATCTCAGCAGCTTTGGCAACATCTGTGAAGAAAAAATCAGAGTTAACTCTGATTATTTTTATCTTCACAGATGCTGCCAGACCTGCTGAGCTTCTCCAGCAACTTCTGTTTTTGTTCCTGTAGATCCAACTGATCCAGTCTCTCTTCTTCAGTCAGTCCTGCCGTTCCAGGAATTAGACTGGTAAATCTTTCCCACACTCCCTCAATAGCTAGAACACCCTTCCTCAGATAAGGAGACCAAGACTGCACTCTATTATTAGTTTGTAATTAATTTATACAGTTTTGGATTACTCGTTACCTTAGTCAGACCTTTGGCATGCAACTCTCACACCTATCCCATTATTCCAGCCATTTGGTTTGTTTCCAGTACCACCTTATTTTTAATTTTTTGTAATTATCTCTCTGCGTCAATTAATCAAATTATAGGTCAGCCCTTCGCTTGCTATTCAGCTGTTGACACTTTACTCACACTGTCTGACACTTTTGATCACCAGCAGGGGCCTATTATTCAGCCTGTCCACTCTCCACTCATACCAGTTGTATGATCTTTTGATTCTCTGCCTATAAATCCTGTGCCTGTGTGCTTCTGTTCACTCCACTTGATGAAGGAGCAGCGCTCCCAAAGCTTGTGTTTTCAAATGAACCTGTTGGACTATAACCTGGTGTCGTGTGACTTCTGATCTTGTCCATCCCAGTCCAACTCCACATCACAATATTCCAGGTGTGGTCTCAACAAAGCCCTATACAATTACAGCAAGACATTCCTGCTCCTTTACTCAAATCCTCTCGCTATGAAGGCCACATACCATTTAGTTTCTTCCACACCTGCATGCTTACTTTCAGCGACCGGTAAAGGAGGACACCCAAGTCTCGTAGTTCATCCCACTTTCTGTTTAAAAGACATTCGATAAGTTGTGGGAGCGTGTTCAATAATGACCAAGATCGGTGAATGATAAAAACAGCCTCTTTATTGAGCATCTGCAGTGGCACAGTTCGGGGCAGCGATGGAATCCCACATACAGTTTTACAGTAGCCTCTTTATGCACATTACTTACATACATTAAACTTCAAGCGCAATGGTGTTACATTGTTGTATCTGTTGTATACAAGTTTGTGTGACATGTGTCCTGGGGAAGCAGGAGATAGTTTAAGCACTTGCTAAATGCTGGCTGTTACTCCTGATGGGATTAGAATGTCTGTCTGGTCTAAACTTGCAAAATTAAGAGGTGTTAGTCCTTATGCCTTTAAAGTTAGAAATGTTAGTGAAAATACTAAAAAAAAATGAGAAATTATACCTGTACCAAACAGAGGATATTAAACTGATCTCCCGCAGCTGGGTCATGAGATTTCATTTACTATCGCTGGTTTTTGACATTTCCTACACATTCATTCATGCAGTTTCATGGAAGCGCTGTTTTGATAGTAAATTTCTTAAAGGGTATAGTGTCCCTATTTAATGTGTATTTAAAAAGTATAAATCCATACATTGGTACAAGGTGGTAGTCCTAAATAAAAGTTAGAATTAGGAATTACAGTGTTATAGAAATAGGTAGTGTATAAGGAAATTTCAAAGAGATTAATAAAAAAAGAGCAGACTGTTGGGACAGAGATAGTAGGAACTGCCGATGCTAGAGTCTGAGATAACAAGGTGTAGAGCTGGAGGAACACTGCAGGCCAAGCAGCACCAGAGGAGCAGGAAAGCTGACATTTCAGGTCTGGACCCTTCTTCAGAAAGGGCGGGGGGGGGGGGGGGGGGGGGGGGGACTCTGAAATAAATAGAGAGAGGGGGAGGCGATGATGGAAGGTGGATAGAGGAGCAGATAGGTGGAGAGAAGACGGACAGGTCAAGGAGATGGGGATGAGGCTAGTCGTAAGGGTTTAGTGTAGGTAGGAAGTTGGGATGGGGGTTGGTCAGTGAGGAGGGAGGGACAGGTAGGTGGAAGGGAAGACAGACCGGTCAAGGGGACGGTGATGAGGCTAGTAGGTAGGAAGTGGGGATGGGATTTGGTCAGTGAGGTGGGAGGAGCAGATAGGTGGGAGAAAAGACGGACAGGTCAAGGAGGCGGGGATGAGCTGGGCCCTGCCTCCTTGACCTGTCTGTCTTCTCTCCACCTATCTGCTCCTCGATCCACCTTCCATCACTGCCTCTCCCTCTCCCTATTTATTTCAGAGTCCCCTTCCCTTCCCCCATTTCTGAAGAAGGGTCCAGACCCAAAACATCAGCTTTCCTGCTCCTCTACAGACTGTAGGGACATGCTGGTTGGGAGAAATTGTTTGATGTCCTGCAGCCTATTAAGGCCCTGAGGTCCCTGTTACTAAGGGATAATTAATATTATAATCTTTCCATAGTTTCAAGTGAGTTATGGCAACACGCTGGCAGGCAAGGCATTGTTCTGTGTAGGTTACTGTATTAACACTTATTCGGGAGTAGCCTTTGATATAGAAACAGATCTAAACATTGCTTTCCGCAAGGGGCCGATAAGAATTAAAAGGTGTAAAGAAACAGTAATGGGTTGGCGGCATAGGAATTTAGTTTACCTTGTAAGTTTAATTTAGTTTAATTTAGTTTGTCTTGTAAGAGTAAAATCTGCAGCAAAAATGCAGATTTATGAATGAATGAATGGAAACACGATATAGTAAACATACAGCACTTGTGAGTTAATAAAAAGAATCATAATACAATGTCTTACAGATAACTGCATGAATAAAAAATGTTTGGAAGGATATGGGCCAAGTGCAGGCAAGCGGGACTAGTTTAGTTTGGGATTATACACGAGTTGGACCGAAGGGTCTGTTTCTGTGCCATGTGACTCTATGACTGGCTGCCACTTGGTAAAAGGCTCATTGATTCCTACTTCTTGTTCCCTGTCTGACAGCCAGTTCTCAGTCTACATCAGTGCACTGGCCCCAGCCCCTTGGGTTTTAATTTTGAAGCCGGGCTCAGCTGACAGTGACTGTTATTTATTTCTGTCTCCGGCAGATCATTGCAGCCCAGGAGGAGATGCTGAGGAAGGAGAAGGAGCTGGAGGAAGCTCGCAAGAAGCTGGCACAAATCCGCCAGCAGCAGTACAAGTTCCTGCCCTCGGAGCTGCGTGAGGATGAAAGCTAATTGTCAGAGGCTGGCAAGCCAGCGCGCAGGACGGATCGCGGTCCCTCTCAGAACTTGAGCCACCTCCGACTGGAAAGCTGGTCGCTTTGTGGACCGTGGAGGCTGGGGGATCTTTTGCATCATCCCGGATTTACCCAATTGTAGATTGTAGTCAGAGTATGTTAGTTTTAGTATTGGCTTCCTCTTCTCCCAAGGCTTGCATGCACTAAATACTTATCAGGGACGTTTACAAAGATGAACAGGGCAAGACCAGGTCCTGTGCAGGAGGAAGATGCTCACGCGCAGAGTTGTATCTCGGATGATCTGAGCCTGCCTGCTCCAGTGATGTAGGAAGATGGGAACCCGTCCCGTGGATAACTCTGTTATCCACCTGAGCTGAGAATTTTCCGAAGCCGCTTGGAGGGGTTGGGGTTGGGGTGGGGTGGGGGTTAATCAGCATCGCCGTCGTCGTTGTGGAGAGTTGTGTAGCGCTCAGCATTGAACTGACCCCGACCCACTGAAGAGCAGGACGGCCAGCGCGGTGTGGAGTGAGTCCCCGTCTCTCCTCCCGGGACGGGAGCCTGTCCGAAATCCTTTATACCCACCCACCTCCTCCCTTCCCCCCCATCCCCACCCCAGGATTGCTTTCTGTGCAGCCAATGGGTGACATCCCAATGAGGTTCACATTTGGAAAAGGAATGGTGAGAGAGCAAGAAAAGAGAGAAATAAAGCAAAAGCCATGTTGTGTTTACAAACCCGAGTGCTCGGTTGAAACAAAATCTAGACGTGCACTAGAAAGGCAGTGTTCTTAAAAAAAAAAAGGGGGTGCAGGGAAATTTCAAAGCACGGTTCCAAGCTCATGTCATATTTCCAGGCGATGATCACCCCCTGGTGTCCCTCTCCATGTCTGTCCATTTCACCACATTAGCTGCACAGTTGTTTGAATTTGACTTTTCTACTGCCTGCAACAGCTGCCTCTGTTATTCGTACTTAAACCACCAAGCTCCTACACACTTGTCTTTTTTAGGTAGTGTTCCTGAAGTCTTAATACCCAAGGGAGCTGCTGGTCTGAGCAGCACTTGCCTCTGGGATTGCCTTCTATGTTTTCCTGTCTGATTCCTTTGTCCTTCACTTGCAGCAGCAACCTGAAATCTCTTCTGGATATTGCATTCCATGAACTACACCAAGATGTATTGTAATTATCAGTAATAACAGACTTGCCAATCTCCCAGCCAGGCTCTGTCATCTCAGTGACATGTTCGTCTATAAGCTAGCATTGGAAAGATCCAATCTCGTTTCTAAAGTCACAGAGAAGTTTGAACTTTTTTTTTCAAAAGAAGAAAAAATGAATGAAATTTAATGTACTGAAACTATTCGTGACATATTCTCGTCGGCCTTTAGGTTTGAATTGTTTTGAGATGGTATGTTTGAAAGGGAAGATGTACCTGCAAAATCGATACGCTGTTTTCTTTTCCGTTTTGCAAGTTTCCATTGGCTTGCTTGACTTCCTATGAGCCAAAGTTTAAATGAAGCGTCACTTATAACTGCCATGACAGAATGTATTACTGTATGTAACATAAACAGCTAATTTATCGGCCACAAAAACTATTTTTTGTATTCACAGAAATAAAAAAAAGATTTCAAAGGAAATTCCGAGTCTTGGGCGGGGTTTTCTGCAAGTTAGCGTCGAGAAAGGAAAAGTCGCTGCACTATTGCCGGACCACAGGGCTGCTCTCTCTCATTAGAGAGAGAGACGACTGATGGTGGTTTAACCTGAGGGTCACCACACCTCGGGTGAGGGGAGAGGTTGAAAAGGTGTGACCGTTGCTCAGACCAGTGAGTTTAGGAGTTGGGATGTCATGTTGCGGTCGTACAGGACATTAGTGAGCCCACCTTTGGAGTACTGTGCACAGTTCTGGTTCCCCTGCCACGGGAAGGATATTATTACATTGGAAAGGGTGCAGAAACGATTAACAAGGATGTTACTGGGACTGGAGGGTTTGAGTTATTTGGATAGGCTGGGACATTTTTCTCTGGAGGTTGAGAGGTGACCTAATAGAAGGTTATAAAACCCTGAGGGACATAGATAAGGTGAACAGCAAAGGTTCTTTTCCCCCAAAATAGGGGAGTTCAAAACTAGAGGGCATAATTTTAAGGTGAGAGGAGAAAGATTTAAAAGGAACTTGAGGGGCAACTTTTTCACACAGAGGGTGGTTCATGTGTGGGATGAACGGCCAGAGGAAGTGGTAATTGCAGGTACAGTTAGAACATTTAAAACACATTTGGATAGGTATATGAATAGGAAAGGTTGAGAGGGAAATGGGCCAAAAGGGACTAATTTGGTTTTGGAAGCTTGGACATGTTGGATCAGGTTTTATGCTGTATGACTCTATGTAACATCAGCCAGTGCAGGAATTGAACCCACAACAGTGGTGTTACTCTGTGTTATAAACTAATCATCCAGCCAATTGAGCTAACTGACCACTGTAGGACTTCCCTCCGTTAAGAATTTAGAATTAGCATCAGAATTAGAATTAGAAGTTAGAATTAGAATTAATTGTCATGTTACTCAAGTACAGGGATAGAGGAGTACACTGAAAAGTGTGTAATGTCGCCATTCCTGGTGCCATCTTGGATACAAGGAACCTAGGTACAAAATCTTGGGTTAAAAAGTAGAAAAAGAAATAAGTTAAAAGCTCAATATTACACTCTGCCTGAGGCAAATCCTGTGTGTCTATTGACCCTGTGCTGTGTCGGCTTCCAGCCTGCCAACACCTTGTTTTAAAATTCTCACCCTGGTTTTCAAACCCCTCCACCATCATCTCCACCTGGGTCTACAGCCACCATCTGAGCCGGCTGCTCTGCTCTGAATCTGGTCTGTTCATTCAGAAGACAATGCCTCAGCTGGGAGGCACTGCTCCCTGCAGTGACCCCAGACCTGGGATGTGTGATTTCCCGTCTGGGTATGATGATGTGGAGGTGCCGGTGTTGGACTGGGGTGGACAAGGTCAGAAATCATATGATTTCTGATTATTGTTATAGTCCAACAGGTTTATTTGAATGAAAACACAAGCTTTCGGAGCCCTACGAGGCAGCGAAAGGGTTACGTAGGTAAAGTACATGCCCCCCTGTGAAATCAGAAACGGGGCTAACCAACTCTGCTGCAGAAAACGGGTTGAGGCCAAAAATAATGAAGGAATTAGACATAGTTCTTGGGGCTAAAGAGATCAGAGGGCTTGTGGAGAAAGTGGGAACAGGGGACTGAGTTGGATGATCAGCCATCATCATATTAAATGGTGGAGCAGACTGAAAGGGCCAGATGACCTACTCCTGCTCCTGTTTTCTTTGTTTCCAACAGGAATGGCGCCTGAGCTGGGTCAAATTCCTGGACCCTCCCTCCCTCGCAGCACTGAGGGTGTCCCTAACCCCCTCACAGACTGCAGTGATGTCTCTCTATCCCCTCCTCAGCAGCAAGAAGCATAGACAACAGAACTGGAAAAGCACAGAGGGTCAGACAGCGTCCACGGAGCAGGAAAGTCAACGTTTCGGGGAAAACCCTTCAGCCTGCTCCTCGGATGCTGTCTGACCTGCTGTGCTTTTCCAGCTGCGCTTTTATTGACTCTAGCATCCAGCATCTGCAGTCCTTACTGTTCCAAGGACAGAAAACAGACACTGACCCACAGTGGGCTCTTTCTGAGTCGCACGTGAATTAGGAATTATTGGACAATCACATCGCACAGTCAGTTGTGTAACCTTTTGATTGTTCCAGAATAATCTTTGGAGCTTTTTTTTTCCCCCCTCAAAATGTGAACATGCAGAAAGAGAGGGAAAGAAGCCTGTGATAAGCCAATCTCTGAAAATCAGCCATGTGGTGGAAGTTGTGATTGTGTGGAGTGAAGTGTAACAGCTGGCCTGGGAGGAAAATTCCCTGCTCTCTTTGGCTGGATATCTGAAAGCCAGCACTTCTGACCATGCAACAGCCCCTCAGCACTGCACTGTGACTGTCAGCTGTGAATGTAGTTAATTGAATGGTTCAGTGGTTGGGACCAAGTCATTGTCATCTCTTTCATTTTGATCATCATCTGCCCCACCAGCCCACCACTCCATAGTGTGTTGTGTCTCATAGTCCGTGTGTCAATGTACCTGTAAGAGATATGGCCATGATCATCATTGTATCAGAACATATGACCTGTGGGTGTATAAATCTCATACTCCATCTTAACCTGGAATTGTTTTTGAGCATGGCATGCTACTGAAAGCATGGTAATCTTGCTGTTTAATGTTAGCCTGGACACTTATGTATTTGTGAATGTAATAGGGCTTGAACCTTCTGGGTCAGAGGTGAGGGAGAGCAGGCCAAAAACTGGACGTGGATATTGAATTGAATTAGCTTTATTGTCACATATACTCAAAAAGCACAGCAAAAAGTTTACAGTTGCCTCATTACAGCTCCGCCTTAGGTACGAAGGTACCCAAGTACAGGGACGTAAGATCAGATTCTTAGGATACAGGAAAAATTAGAAATGAAATAGTCCAACACTAAAGGAATAAATCAGAAAAATAAAGAAGTAAGAAATTCAGAATGCCAGCCTTTCTGACCCAGTCCATGCCAGCACTTAGACTCAAGGGAACCCCCACTGCCTTGCTGCTGCCTGCCCTGGACACACCAATGTAGAAGCTATATATGTGTGTTCTGTCTCACAGTTCGTGTGTCAGTGTACCTTTAAGAGACATGGCCATGATCACCATTGTATCAGAGTACGTGTAGGCTAGGTGGATTGGCGTGCTAAACTACGAGTAGAGATCAGGAATGTGTAGGTTAGGTGGATTGGCCATGGGTAATATGTGGATATAGGGTATGGGTTTGGGTGGGATGCTTTCAGAGGGTCGGTGTGGACTTGTTGGGCCAAATGGCCTGTTTCCACACAGTAGGAATTCTATTCTATTCTGTGTGACCTGTGGTATAAAAGTCTCAGACTCCATCTTACCCCAGGATCACTTGAGCATGGCATGCTACTGAAAGCATGCTAATCTAGCAGTTTAATGTCACCCTGGACACTTATGTGTTTGTGAACATTGTAATAGTTGTAAGAAATACCTTTGAGTTTTTCTGTATCACAATATCCATGTCCAGTTTTTAATGTTATATGGGATAACATATGCATTGGTGCATAAGGTAAAATCCCCTGTCAAATACACGATGTACATCACTCCAAATCTCGCAAAGCTTTTGATGATATGATCCTGCTAATAATTATCCTAGGCCTGAGGAAGGGTCACTCAACATGAAACGTTAACTCTGATTTCCCTCCACAGATGTTGCCAGACCTGCTGAGTTTTTCTGGCAATTTCTGTTTTTGCTTCTAATCTTCTCCCTGATTTCCTTTTGAAGAAAACATGCAGTCCAATTTTTTTTAGAAAGCTGCATTTATGTAGCATCACTATGGACCTCGGAATATCCCATGGTGCCCTGCAACCTTTGAATTGTGGTCACTGTTGTGATGGAGTAAACACAGCAACAAAATTGCCGCGCGGCAAGATGCTACAGACAGCCATGCGATAAACAACTGGATAACCTGATTTGTGATGTCAGCTGAGAGCCAGGAGACTCTTCGAATAGCAGGCAAGGGGAGCCCTTGAGCTGATACAGCAGCTCAGTGTCTTGGTTAATAAATGATCCAAAAGGGAGCACCTTCAACTGTGTAGCAATTTCCTTTATTCATTAATGGATGTGGTTGGCCAGGCAGCATTTATTGCCCATCCCTAATTGCCCAGAGGGCAGTTCAGAGTCAACCACATTGCTGTGGGCCTGGAGTCACATGTAGACCAGGTAAGGATGGCATTTTCCTTGCCTAAAGGACATTAGTTTCTGGAGTGGAACTTCAATCTTTTTGACTCTGAGTGTTAGCAGTGCAACCACGGCTAATACTCCTAAAGTTGATAAAACCAAAAGTTGTAGATGCTGGAAATCTGAAACAGAAACAGCCAAAGAAACTCAGAAAAAAAGCAAGGATTGCAGGTGCTGGAAGTCAGAGTCGATAAAATGTGGAGGAGCATGGCAGGTCAGACAGCATCTGAGGAGCAGGAAGGTCGACAGTTCACATCGAGGCCCTTCATCAGGACTGGGGAGGGAGATAGGAGCTCAAAATAAATAGAGTGAGGGGGATGGGGCTGGGGCAAGGTAGAAACTCAGCAGGTCTGGTTGCATCTGTGGAAAGAAAATACAGTTAATGGTTTGGGTCTAGTGACCCTTCTTCAGAACTCCAAAAGTCACTTTTCTTTAGAAATAGAATCATTTTTCCTGCCTGTTGCATTGTTTAAGGAAATGTAATAATAAGTGTGAGTGGCCAAATGTTGCAGCGATCCTGACCCCAGGACAGCTCTTGGATGTTGGTTTATTTAGTTTCTGAGACTTCCTTCAGTTCCACTCTACTCCACTGGGTGGAGCCAGTTCACAACCAGAAATCCCGAAAGACCAAGATTGTTCCAAATGGACCTGGGGGCAGAGGGGATGGATATTAGGATTTGGGAGCAGGAAACTCCAACGAAAGCTGGAGTCCAGCTGGACGAGGTTCTGTGCCACTTCAAAGTGCACCAGGATGAGACTGAAGTCACAGGCTGGTATTTAGGGTGACCCAGTGGTTAACTCT